CTTTTTTGTTACTACTAGTAAGGCACTTGTTACTAGAAGCGATGCACTTGTTCCTAGTAGCTTTTTTGTTACTAGTAGTAAGGCACTTGTTACTAGAAGCGATGCACTTGTTCCTAATAGCTTATTGTTACTACTAGTAAGGCACCTGTTACTAGTAGCGTGGCACTATGCGTCAGAAACTGCAGGTACGTCTTGGAACGAGGCACATGTATGGCAATCCCCACCCGACATTGGCCGTGACGACTGTAGCGCACTCAGAGGCATTGTGGCGGCATGCAGGGGCCAGCCACCACCTCTGCTGCCAACACTTGAGGACGGTCTTATTGTTGATTTCCTACAGGGAAGAACGTCTCATCAAGGTGAAAAAGTGTTGAAAGATGTTGAAAGTTGTAAAGAAAAAGATCCTAAATATTCCCAACTGGTCCTAGACTTTCGGCCAATGTCTGCAAAGGTGTTTACGAACTGACGGTGTTTGTCCTCCACACCATCATGATCGCCAGTGGCTGCAAGGTATTGCCCTCCAATCCCTTCAAAGCCAATCTCGACAGACTTAGAATGGACACACGGCTGCAACAGGGCCAGGGCTGCAAGGTATGCGGCGGTATGCGATTCGCACGGCACGGAACGACTCGTCCTTTTTGATAGTTTCACGAGACATGCAAAAGCAGCTTAACACAAATGCGTCAACACACTGCAGGATGTGCCTTGTCTTCAATTTCACTCACAGGTCTCATTTGGAGCGAGGCAGGGGCTGAATGACAACCAAACCAAGCTATGGAAAGGATCTCAGTGTGGAATGCAAACAAATTCGATGCGAGATAGTGTACCTGCCGGAATCTACTGTAGGTCTTTCATACTATCGGATCTGAACCATGGACAGCTGCCCCATTTCTTAGTGGATGTCTTCCCATTAGTGGCCTGCAGGCAGAAGCTTAAAATAAGAGTGTAGTCTAGGAAGTCAAGTGCTTTCCAGCAGCCTATGAGCAAGGACGCTACTAGGGGCTCCTGGCCTTACTACTAGGAGCAAGGACGCTACTAGGGGCTATTCACGAAGTTAAGCACCCGTCCGAATCCTAGACTGAAGGTTTCGTAGACCGATCGTGAGTGTGTGGACCGCAAGTGGCGCCCAGCGGCATCTGCACAAGTCCTCAACTTGGCCAAGTCCACCTGCGGTCGGTCGAGAACCGCATCGCACTGCCGTCGCGCAAAGGCACTGCCTGTGGGACAGTCGCGGTGTATTGGACGGGGTTGTGCCAGGAGCGATTCCAGGAGCGATAAAACTCCAAAGCCAATCCTCGACGCGTTTGGTTCACGTTCGACGCGTCACACGAGTTGACCGAAACAGAAGTTTTGGCCAAAGGGCCGCTGTCTTGGAGAGCTGCATTCATGCTGCTTCCCATGATATACATGCCTTCCTTGCCAGAATATCCAATACCTCGAACATAGCTCATCAGGTAAGGTCTGGTTGGCGGCATGAATGTTGAGCACTCAAGTTCTGCACACACTAGTCGACGCATTTACTAGATAGTTGCGTCCCAAGTACTTCCCAGGTTCTCTGGAGCATACTCGCCAAGTTTTTTCAGAGCTGTTTCTGTGAGTTCTTCCGCAGCATACCAGTATTCCAACGACACATGGTGCTGGCGCGGTTGATGGCGTTCTGCGGCACATGATCCTGGAGGAACCGATGGCCTTTACCCTAGTAGCGGCCTCCAACCTACTAAGGCAAACTGGAACGGTCAGATCAGGTCCGGAACGTGACAATCCACTTTTTCAAGGCACAGAGCTCGTATTGTCCTTCAATGATCGTATTGTTCTCGGGTATGTGCTCACAGCCTGCAAGCTTGTAAATCTGTATGAAGCTAGTGGTGCCGATGCCAAGAGAGGTGTTGTGCCCGATCTTCTCCTGACAGCAAAACCCATCTTGAAAGGAATTGCCGTGATCATTAGTGAGTTTGACTCCCTTGCCATGCGAAGTCTGAAGTTGATGGTTTGCGGCGTTTGGGTGGAAGGTGGCGATGTGCGTCTCCAAGCACGTTTACTAGTAACAAGGGCATCGCTACTAGTAGCTAGAAGCTACTAGTAACAAGGGCATCGCTACATGCGTGTTGATTTTGTTCCAAATGCATCCGAGTATATTGTAACAGAATAGTCGAATAGTCAGTGTGGAGGTGCTTCAGGCGAGCGGATGGCGAGGCGGCGAGGCACTTTGTGGAGAAATCGATAAAGCCTACAGATTTCTACAGTGTGTATCAATCTCTCATATTCTGTCCTAGATCTGGCAACGAAAGCCATGCCGCTTTCGGGTGGCCAAAGGTGAATCGAATTTCCCTAACAGTGAGCCACAGTGAGAATGGATAACGTCCCGTCCTGAACAATAATCTCATAGATGGAGCTCACAATCCTTGCAGCTTTGCTCGCTCCAAGAATCGGTTCTACCCCTCGTCGGGATGAGCAAATAGACTCGTTCCCGTGGTGCTCCCAAGAGAGAAAGGACACGCCAATTACGAGGAAAACGACTGGATTCTGCATGAAACCCAGTCCTGGCTGAGGCCCAGCTGCCAGTCCAAATGCCAAGCGGCATAGAGGTCCCATCAACTACTACCTGAAGACCAAGTAGTTAATGGTTCAGGATGGCTCTATGGGCCAACGACATATCCAAACGCCGAATTCTGTGAATCTAAGACATGAACACATGATCATGAGCCGAATGAAATTACATGTGTATATATTGTATGCATGTATGCGTTGCATACATATTCTACAATGTGTGCATAATTTCGACAGAAAACACTCTTTGAACTCAACACCAATCCAAATCTGCCCAGCAGCATGTGTCCGCTCGGATTCCGGAATGGCATCCGGAAGACAAACCCGGCCATGCACCCTAAGGGTGACAGCCAAAGCTAAGAGTAAAAGTATGCCCCTCATGGCTGGGCCTTCAGCCCCTGAGCCAGAGCTGGGATCAAGTTGGAAAGCGCGGTGTTTCTTCATAGTTTTTCGTTCATGTCCCTCTTTACTCTCGTCTCAATGGGTATCACTAGGTCCATACCCCGTCTTGGCCTGCACCTTAGAGAGGACTTCAGCGAAACGCTCCTGTCAAGCTGTCAAGGAGAATGGGGAGATGGGAACTGGCATCCAATGAATCTGGAAAAGGCGTCCAATGATGTCCAAGGCGTCTTGTTTTTTCTCTCCCGAATATCCCGAATGTGTAGCGAAGTTCCCACTTCACTGGGAAGTCTCGTGCGAAACGCTGGCTTTGGAGACTTGTCGCTTGATGTTTGGAAGTCGTGACTGGGGGAAGGCCTGAACGCAATCTGCTTTGAGCTTCGGTGCCAGTGGAAGTCCGCTCTTCGTGAGCTCCGGTGCCAGTCTCTGAAGTCACCGTGTCACAACGCGGCGTCGAGGTTTGACGTGTGGTTCGCGGGATGATTGGTGGTGTCATGTCACATGGTTGCATCTAGCCCCACAAGAGTGTCCCATAAGAGTGCCCCAAATTACAAAGAGTGTCCCAGAAAGGTATCCCACAACACTGTCGTATAAAAGATTATACAAGAGTATCACCCCAGATTGTCCATCTTTGGAGAATGCCACGCGAGAGTGTTAAACAAACGTGTGCTCATTCGGGCTCATGGGTTCTATCAGACCTTTGGCCAGGGGTAGGCCGTGAGGCTACTAGGTTGGAAGCCATTGCTATTAGGTTGGAGGCCCTCGCTATTAGGTTGGAGGCAATTGCTTTATATTGCTTTGTATGTGTGTCTTTTTTTGGCTGAGGTAGGCCGTGAGGCTGAGTACAGCTAGGAAGCGGAGGACAAGTTCAGTCTTCTTCAAGGCTACAAGGCTACCCCCCTGCCTTTTCATTTGGTTCCTAGATGTTTGGGGAAACCCGAAACTCTTTGGACAACTCTTTGTCAGAGGTCAAAGTGATCCAGCCAGCTTGTGTCGTCTCAATTTCAGCCCAAGCGTTCAACATTTGAGGAAACATCTTCAATCTTCACGGTCAGTATCCCAGGTTTCATCACCAGTTTTCCGTTCTGTCCTATGCAAAAAAACACCTTCCCTCCCCTCCGGTCCCCTCCTCAAGCAATGCCACACGATCTGAATCCATGCCACCCAGCAAGTCACACTTGTTCCTGGCACGTATAGCACGGCATCTTCTGCTGTCATATCTCCTAGGACACTCTGTCAGACTGTCGATGCCTAAGGGATACTGCCGATGGCGGGATTTAGACCCAAAGTGACATGCCAATGACTCCAATGGCCGTGCCAATGGCCTTTAAATTGTCTTCTGTGGAGAATAGATTCCATGTCCCATGAAACATGCCCAAGGCCACAGCAACACCAGATCGCAATACCTGTAGTCTTCGGCAAGAGGAGGCATGTTTCATGCCCTGGGAAGGCTTGCTTGCTGTTGTTTGGCAGGTGGCAATGTCTGTGCCAGCAATATTCGAGGGATTTCGAGGGATAATTCTGTTCCTTATCAGTGGGGTAAACCATCAGCTTCATTTCCCACCAAATCTAGGAACCGTTTGGTCTAGCCGAGCTGCTTGATCTGCTGGGCGGCGGTCTCTTGCAAAGATAAGGCCTGACGACGTTCTCAGACATGACATGAACAGGTCGATCGCCAGCTAGTATGCCCGCCGTTAGGTACACGGATGCATTGAAAACTCTGAACCGACATTATTATAGTCAAATCTTTTGGGGGGGTCCTCAAAATACCTTCCCATACCTTTTATCTATTGCTTCTTTCTGTCGCCCTCAGATCTCGAATTGGATTCGCCTGGGCCGATTTAGGTACGTGATCACACAGGTCGCTAGCATCCATCACTGTGACCACCTGAGCTTCAGTTCCTCTTTGAGTGGACCTTCTTCGACCTTCTCACTCTGAGAGGTGCACAGTATCCAAGTGTAAGGAAACTGCCTCGGACGTAGCCGGCTTTGGCGTGTGGCTTTGGCTTGTTTCTTCGATTTTCTTCGTTCATCTCTGATCTCGACGTGTCAATCGCTAAGACTGAGTTCATTGAACCTGCAATCCACTACAGCTCCAGCCTCTTGACGCCCAGCCAAGTGGTTGCACATCAATTGAAGACTCGGTGTTATTTAGCATAGAAAATAGAAACAGCATGAAATAGCTTCGTTAGGCCCTCGTTGGATCCCTTCACCTCACCGACCTCACCATCAAAAGTCTTAATTTCTCTGACTCTGTTCCCAGCTGAGCTGCCAAATCATCCAATTGTTCTAGCGTGCTCAGGACAGGTGCCGGATCACATAAACCACTGGTCTCAATGACCAACAAGTCCTCGGAGTTGCTCATCCGTGAGCATCCAAACGAAAGTAGAAGTCTTCAGGTTTGCACCTGTGCCGTTTGATGCATTTGAGTGCCTACCAAAAAGTCAAAGAGACTGAGGCTCCTGAGGGCTGTCTGAACAACACTTTGAGCCCCACATCTACCCTAAAGCTGCTCAGGAAATGGCCAACTTTTCAGGGGCCTTCTTCTGAGCCTGAAATGGTGATCATGCCATCCTTCGGACAAGGTTGACTCTCATCTAACATGTGTCTGTGCTTCATGCGGAAGGTGTTCCAGCGTCGGTGTTCGAACAAGAGACCTGGTTTGATGTCTCTCGGTCTCAGTTGTTTTCCATCCGACAGACTGGTAGGACCCCTGGTCCGCCTCCAGGATCTTCCGTAGCTGTCGTTGGAGGTCGGCATTCACCTCCAAAGGCGAGGTCGAGGTCAGATCTTGACCGTTCACGCACCGGCGTTTGGTTTCGCCGGAAAAAGAAGGTGCAAAGGAACAAAACATTGTGAACAAGAACCCGATCCGTCTCACCATCCTTTTTTCTTTTTTGAAGACATGCCGCAGTGGGTGAATGATGGTGAACGAACTCATCCGTCATCGACATTGGGGCGGCACTTCGCAGCACATGCAGCCATTGTCCAAGGTGACAACCCTGCAATTGTCCAAGGAACACACAACGGAGGAAGTGCCAAAGCAAAAAAACAGTTCCTTGGTGGAAATCCCTTTGTTCTTTTCATTTTTCGCACAAGCGTCCTTTTTCTTTTCCTAAGGTATTGCGGCAGCCATCGGCCTTGCTTCATCAATCTTGCCCTGCCAACGAATGAGGTCACCGTCAATGTCCACACTGCCAAACTCATTCACGAAGACTGCCACACGAGCACCTGTGTCGACTCCACCCAGCTTTGGGCGGACGCAATGGCCTTGATGCCTCACAGTCTCGCCTTGTTGGTTAAGAATATGATTTAGCAAGGTGGTCTTGCCAGCACCCAGGAAACCTGTAATGATGCATACCTTGGCCAAACAACACAAGTGAGTCTGGAAAAGTCATACGGTACATAGACGGTTCAGTCCATGGGACGAAAAGTAGAGGGTTTTGTTGGATGATATATCTTTGAAAAAGCAGTGTCATGTAATTCACACACGTACAGTTCATATGTGCTACAAGTATTTTCACAAGGTTGGAGGCTCTTTTGTTGAAGGCCGCCACTAGGGTGGAGGCCATTGCGGTAAGAATGTTCAACTGAGGCTCTGGAAGCCCCGGTCGTTCCATGGTGCACCGCGCGCAGGGTGGGAAGACTTGATCCACATGAAACGGACATCTCGAGCATGTTTTCAGGTGTCACCCGGCCCACATGGTGGCACCACATGAAACAACAACCAAGAGTTGTTTAGCGGTCAAAGTGAATGTGCCAGCCATGTCTTGACCCTTCATGACCCAGTCGGACGACTGGTTGCTTTCAGCCAACTCCAAAGCACGGACGGTCGTCAATGGACGTGTTTTGCGCAGCAGAAATTCAAGACAACCGCAAACGTATCATTCAGGATAGTCTAGTCCGCTGGCAACAGAACAGCAAACAAAACGATTTCAATGCAAATCTGGAGTTGTAAGGCTCTTGAATCTTCTGATATCTTATCCAATCCAGGTCCCAGTGGTTTTTCAGACAATAGACAATGGAATCATTTGGGAACTCTTCAAACTAATTACCAATGTCTTGGCACCACTCCGTAAAATCATGTAAAATCCCATAGAAGCGTGAGGACTGTGGTCGTTGCCTTTGCCTCATGGATTGTCTGATTGGGATGGTGTAGATTGATGCGGCTGGTGTAGATCGGGTGATGTCCGATGTCCGTGGTCCAGGGCTCTACCGAAGCGGTGGTGGGTCAGGTGCTGCCCAAAATGCTGCCTCCATCAGGATGAAGAAGATCAAGCGAAGGAAGGAAGGAAGGAAGGAAGGAAGGAAGGAAGGAGGGGACAACTGGTAGCTCTTCTTTTCAGTGAAACTTGGCGGAAACTGGCATTGTCGAAGAGACCGATCATGGTATGGCGGATAGCCTATGAAATGGTGTTGAGGAGAAAAGCGATGGCTTCCAACATAAGAGATGGCCTCCAACCCACCAGCGACAGCCTATGAAATGGTGTTGAGGAGGCAGGAAAGCGATGGCTTCCAACCGCCTGGTAGAGATGGCCTCCAACCTACTAGCGATGGCCTTGATTCGGTGACAGGAACCCACTGCAAGGGCCCACGGGCTAACTGGCTCGTCTCATTGGTTGGGAGGTCATTTGGGTCAATCACCCGCCAAACGGCGGCTTCTTTATGGTCCATCATGTCATGTCTTTTCTCTATTTTTGAAAAAAGGGTTTCAGCATGATGGCGCCAGTGGCCAACGGACCAAATGGCTGGTGTCAAAGCGATCTCCCATCGGCAACTATACACGCGATATATATATATATATGAGCCACGGTCAAAATCAATTATTTATGCTAAGGATGCTTTCTATCGTTATCGTTTTTGGGGGAGACCTTATCGGTTTTCAGCTTTTTGTTCAGCCAGATGCTTTTGGCATTCGCATTTACATTGTGGATGCATGAAGCGGAGCTACCTACTTGCTGAAATCAGAAGCAGTGGATGACGAGCTTGTTCACAGCTCGCTGCGGACAAAGGCATTGCAATCTCGAGGGGGTTGTGAAATTTGGTGTACCTGTCTCTATCTTAATATTTATCGGCCTTCTGTTGGCTGGGATGTAAAGTACTAACATGTAAGTTCTCAAAAAGAAAGGCTAGACCAATGTCTTCAATAGGGAATTTGGCTGTCTTGTCAGCAGGCTCTGGGCAAGTGGCTGTGAAAGCTGAAAACATATCCAGACGGTTATCGGCGAGTTATCGGTTTCGTTATCGGCATAGTGCCCACATAGAATCCGGATGTTTCAAGAGATGGCTGCAGATTATAAAAAGAAAGACAAACAGCAACAAAAATATTGATTCCGTATCATATGGCTGAAGCCGCCCACTAGGGTACTGTCAGTGGGGCTTTCATTCGACATGCAACAGGTACTGCAAGGATCTGTCAGGAATGATAATAAATACCATCATACATCATAGGTTATCGGTTTTGGGGCGGACCTTATCGGTTTCCAATACGTCCTCACCCTAAGCCATTCACATCGACCTCTCCTGACTAAAGTAGTCTACACTTATTTTGACCCCACCTCATATATATATATGATATGCTACTATTACTAGTAGCTCCTGACACTACTACTAGGAACAAGAAGCTACTAGTAACAAAGGGCATCACTACTAGGACCAAGAAGCTAGTTATATCATGTCGCCCATCGCTGTTTCCGGTGTCCATCGGCATCTCGATCTGGAATTCCTGGGATTCCGGGGTGAACAAAAACAGGGGGTAACGGGGTAACGGGGGGGAGAATTCCGGGAGTTTTGTCATTGAATCAAGGGCACCTCCCACCAAGCTGATTTGAGGACCTGATTCTACCCACTTTGTCAAAAACCCAATGGTCCAATGGTCTAGTTACGCGTAATTGGCTGCTTTCAGAGTGAATGCACTGGGTTTGCAGCGCAGGCCGAAGCAGCGGTTTAGCACGGAGTCCTTGCAGAATGGGCAGTGACTTGGGGCCACCCATAGCGATCTCTGAAACAATGGGTTGTCTTCGCAAAAGGAGCGTGTCATGGTGTTGATGAGTAACTGAATGAGAAAGAAAACACACTTCCGCTCTGCACTGGCTCAAGGCTGGATGACTTTTTGGCAATCGCACAAAATGTTCGTCACTCGTCTGCTTTGCAGCTTTCGGCAGTAGCGTTTTGCTATGCTTCAGGCTCAGGCTTCAGGCTCTTCGACGCTCTTTGACGCTCTTCGACGCTTCTCAGCCTCAGAGCCTCACCGTCACCGCCTCATCGTTTCAAGAACCCACCATCAAGTACCGAGAACACTTGTTTGCTTGCCCTCAACAAGGGTCATGTCTGTAGCAAGGTAAGAAATGACACAGACACATGTGAAACAGGATGCATGCACCTACCACTCAAAAGAAGGAATTACGTTGGATAGCCTACCCACGCAAACCACCATGTAACTAAACGTCCAATGATACATGGTATATGCAAAAAACACACACATGCACAAATCTACAAAGATACTGTCGATACTATGGTTTGATTTTAGACTTGGAATGTCAAAAAAAAGAAGAGTTCTGTCAATCAATCCTTGCAAGATGATCAACATCATAGAATTCACATGAATTCACATCTGTCGACTTGAACACGCGTGTTGTTTCAACTGAAGAGTGTGATTCCAACATGCCTGCAGCACTGCAGCCTTTCGATCCTGGACTTTTCAAAACTTTGCTCAATCGCATAGAGAGAAAGAGTGCCGCCTGGGATGCGAAGATTCGGTTCAACTCTCCAGTTTCTGTGGGAATCAAATCTGTCGGCCCTAGTGTCCACCCCAAAAACAACTGGATTGGCATGTGTGTCAAAAAACCTTGCCTGATGATTTGGTAAACATCCAGGTTTCTCCGTGAATGCCCAATTCTTACCAGCCGTGACGTTGCCCCAAAAAATCAGTGGCCTGGTTCACAGTTGCTAAAACACACAGTTTCTGTAAAAATAAAACCACTGCCTCAAAAGTGTTGGACGTCTCGGAGAGAAATTGTAGCTTGGAAACGACGGTTTTCTTTCGTGAATGAGAGTCACAAGCGATGTGCCGAAAAACTGCAGCCAAAAAACGGCTATGCTCAGCAAGAAGTGCAAAATCACTCCTCCCATGCAGAATGGCTGAGAAAGAATCCATGGCATTCTTTGGTTTGCTTTGGAATTGCCAGGAAACCAACAAAACATAACACGTGGCTGAGAGTGTTTTGATGTGTTTTGGTTTCGTGTTCTCCTGTTGCACAAAAATGAAGACGACAAGTGGTACTCCCGATCAGCTCACCAAAAATTTAATATTCATATACCCAAGAAGGGAGGGGACGAAAGCCAGCCTTTGCGTCAACGGGGGTGCGCTTAGGGTCAGCCTGGCGCTCAGGCATGCCGATGGGGGGAGGCTGCCTTTTTTCGTCTTGGCTCAGGGGCGTTTTGGAGGTGAAACCCTAAGGAAGGGAGGGGCGCTGGCCTGCTGCGTATTGCCAATGAGTGAGCAAAGATGGCTCTTGGGGGCCCATGGGTGAGGTTTATCGGCAGGCTTTCGGGAGGACACATATATGTCATGGTAGAGTGGAGAAAGCGTAGCTGAAAGCGGTGAAGTTGATATTGCAGATGAAGTGATTGGCTGACATCGGGCAAAGCATACGTTCAGGTGGTGAAGTTGACATCGTAGCCACTCCGACAGGAGGTAGAAACAGAAAGTATAATACATAGGTTTTTGGGGGTGCATTTTCGTCGTGGCTTTGTGTCGCTTTGTCGTTGACAAAAAGGCACCCCGAAGGAAGTGAGGGGCGGCTGCTTGCTGTGTGGTGCCAATCAGTGGGGGGGGTCGAGGGGCGAGGTATCGACAGGCTTTCGGGAGGAGAATATATGTATATAGGTAGAGGAGAAAGAGTGGCCGGAAGTGGTGAAGTTGATCTTGCAGCCAATCGGATAGGGGCAGAGGAGAAAGTAGAATACATAGGTTTGGGGGGGTGCATCATGCACCCTCCTATATGGAGGGCCCCCCTATGGACTGCCCTTTTGAGTCCGGCAACTAGACCTTTCCACGGATAAAAAAGGGCACCCCCCAAGCAACTCAAAGCCTTCCGCCTCCAACGCTTGCCCGCTGCAATCTGTTTTCTCTCCTGCCCTCAACAACCCCCCCAAGCAACTCAAAACCTTCCGCCTCCGCTGTGCCTGCCTCATCCACGCTCCTACCGCATAGGGAGTGCCCTCTTCGGTCCGGCAACGAAAAAAGGACGCCCCAAGCAACGCTAGCTTGCCGGTGACTGCAATCTGTTCTCTTTCCTGCTCTTAAGAGTGCGGTGAGTTCCAACTACTGTTCACGTCCCGTTGTCCGCCCTTTCCTCTCATCGACGTGAACTCCCACCCTGGTAAAGACATGTAAAGACGGTTTACATGGCCTCCTGAGCCCCTCGTGACGCTAATGATGCACAGCACGGCAGCGCCATCACATCGCAGTCTGACTTCCGACGTGATCGACTTGGGTCCTGCCGCAGTCTGCGCCGACTGCTGCCGTTATCTTTATCTTCTTCTTCCTCTTCTTCCTCCTCGTCTTTTTCTCCCTTGGATTTACAAGTAGAGCGGATAAAGTCTCAGCAAGGGCACACCTTAAACATCCTTAAACACAATACCAAATGAATTGGCATCCAAAGGCATCCCGCCAAAAGCCCGGGGCTCCATCCGAAACAAGCGGCGTTCTTCTTTTCATACTTGTCCGCCAGTTTGCGCGAGGTCTCGTAGCTGAGCTCTGGCAAGCAGGATGATCGCACTGATGTGGTTGGGGGGAAGCCGTTGCGTGCAAGAGAGAGGAACTTCTGGAGCTCGCAGTACGCAGATTGCACGTGCCGTAGCCGGATCCGGGACTTCCACGGCCACCTGGCTCCGATTTTCGACTACAAGCTTTTGGAGCAAAATGCACAAAACACACATAGACTTCTCTCCGGTCGAAACTCACTCGACTCCTGAGAAACGAGAAACGACCGGCTTGTGGACCGAGAAAACGTCCGCATTTTCGGGTCTTTTCACAGCGGTACTTGAGCCCGAAAACCGCCCCCAGATAAAACCGGTTTAAAAGGGCTCTGCAAGTGTCCAGGCCACGCATCTTGCAATAGCTTCGTGGATTCCTTCAAATCCTCCGTAAGCTCCGGTTCCTTCAAAATTTTTGCCTTCTTGTCGTAGCCCTTCTTCATGTGTGCCATTTGACGGAATCCTGGGCCCAGCCCGTTGAGGTCCTGAGCTCCGCGGTCGCGTCATCCCCCACGCTTCGCCGTTTCACGCAGGTGATTTGAGATCCTGCTTATCTTAAAAAGGGATAAGACTTTCAAATTTAAAGGGATAGGATTCGGATGTCCATGGATTTTCAACGGAAGAAAACCTCAAACTAATTGGGTCAAGAATCTGATTCCGGGCTTTGCTTCCAACTGTAATCAAAGAAGCGATGCTCTAGGGTGTTGGCTAAGTTCTTCGCGTGGAATCCTGGCTCGCTTCCCGTCGCGACATGCTCCAAAACGCTGAAGATGCTGTCATAGGACTGTGCAGCCACCACGTCCTGCCCGAAGCGGTTCTGGTCCGGCGAACATGGAGCAACGATCTTCCACAGAAAGACGTAAAGCGATTGCGCGTATACGCATATATTAGAGCTCGCACTACATTTGTACATGTTCCACATCACCCCCTACGCTTAGCGAAAGATTGTGTTGCAGCTTCGTTTGCATGGTAGCGGTAAGCCTGGTTGCGCACCTGAAGTGAACACTGAAGGGTGGCAAGGTTGGGCGCACTGGAGCCATTGGGTGGAAGGTGCAGCATGAGTCGTGAAACTCCAGAAAGGTCGGC